GGAAAGAATATGATAAAAGGTGGGATGCACTACATTGAGGTGAAGAAGCTGCTGCTGCTGTCATATTGTCAAGCTATAACTTTCTACCTTCTTCTCAAATCTGAGGGGCAGCCAGTTCGTGATCATCCAGTCATTTCACGCCTTGTGGAGATCAAGAATCTGTTGAATAAGGTTACAACTCTTATCATAGGATTCAAATAACTAAACTTGACCAAATTACTGCTTGCCAGTTTTTGTTAATTCTGTTAACGAAGATATTATTTGCTGAAAGATCAGTCACTTGATTATATGGTATATGCATAATTTATGAGATAAGACTGCTTTATCTAGTCTTTGAGATATATGCTAAGCAAATTGTGTTCCCACATACACGTTGAAAACATTTACTTGCCGACCACCTCATATGGTAATATCAGCAGACTTTCAATAAAAGGTACTACCACTAGCTTGTAAAAATGGAAAAGGTTAACACAAGTATTGGGTCACTCTGTCCATCAAGGCTTAGACAGAGAGGAAGAAATCAGTCAATTGCCTAGTTTTTTGCCTCACTAGCAGTTGAACTCGGGACCTCAAGTTCTCATGGTTCTCAATCCACTTCATTAACCACTAGGCCATTCACTTCATAACCACTAGGCCAAACCCTTGGGTGCCTCTTGCATAATTATTCTAAGTGAATACCCCATAAAAATATTTTCCAGCCTTCTTCTTAATTTGTTTGATAAATGTCTGTCTAGCATAGCTAAACTCATTTGTCAATTAAGTTAAATACGTGGATATCCCTGGAAGGATTCTGTAATTCTTTAATCATGTTTTCTTGAGTCTTGGAGAATTTGAAGCTGAAATAATATGCTAAGTGATCATAACCTAACGTATCAAATTTGTCAATCATGTACCGACTTAACATTTTTAGCTTGTTTAAATGCTAAATGATGTTGCCAAATAGTTGATAAGTCCTCTCGTTGTTCTTCTGTTTTATTCGATTCTTGGCTAGCTTCATTGCGTATATTTAGCTGCCAAATAGTTGATAAGTCCTCTCCTTGTTCTTCTGCTTTATTCAATTCTTGGTTAGCTTCATTGCGTATACTTGTTCCTTTCTTCCTCTTTTTATAGGTGTTAACAAATTAATGTTTGCAGATGAAAGAACTTGATGGATATCTTCCTTCTAAACTAGAAGACTTGTTACACAAGAATGTTGATAATATAACTGGTGTAGAGTTGGTGGGAAGGAACTTGGATTCTGAATCTCTTCCCAGTAGTGACAAGCCTTCTGTGGTATCAACTGATATTAAAGAAGCAGAGGTAATTTTCAGTTTTATTCGTCTTATTTTGTTGCTCAAAGCTTAATTTTTTTCCTTCTTTTATGGGCTGATTTTGAATGAATCCTTTTGTTGTTCTTACGGAGCAACTCTGTAAAATTTAGTGTAATTTTTTCTATTGTTTTAGCCTCAGGAAGCTGAGTTGGTGGACGCAAATGGTTTAAATATTCAACGGAAAAAGGAATCAAAACGCAAACGCCAGGTAAATGGTGCATGTATCTAAGCACGCCTCTGTTTTGCTTATCAACCATCAGCAGGCGAGTCCATTGTCACTGTTTCTATACGAAAGTGTCACCATACTAGTGTCATTGTCTTCTTTTTTTACCAGTAAGATGTAGATCAAATTAACTAATGTTAAAGAATTGTGGCAGGATGATCAAGTTGGTATCCAAAGCATGGAAATGTTGAAAGTGAGAGCTTCCCTTGAGGAAAAACTGAAGCAGACAGGTGTCTTAAGTTCCATTGCACGGAAAACTGAAAAACAAAACAAGCGCTCACGGCTACTGAATAGGTATCAATTTGCTTCGCAATTTATTGCTCCACCTTCCTCTTCTGTTAGTCTTCATAACATAATGCAAACATGAAATTACTGATAGGAAGTGCAATGAATTATATATGCAGGCTGTTGGCAACTCCTGATGATTTTGATGATGATGTCATGGGTGCTGAAGATGATCGCGAGACGCGAAGTTTAAACAAGCTATCTAGGCTTCTAACTCCGCAAGTAGCAAGACCCAAGGTGTGGATCACAAATGCTTTAATTTTGTCTTCATTTTGTTGGTTTTCTTGTAAAGAAGTATGTCTTTTATGTGTGTATGCAACTGCATTGAGATTGATTCTCTGAACTTATGGAATTTGACGGTCTTTTTGACACTAGTAACATTTGTATTTCAGTCAGTACTTAGGTAGTACTGAAAAACCATATTTACAAAAAAGAATAAAAAGATTATTGCCTTTCCAATGCTAAACCAAGGTCTAGATGGACCCTAAAACATCTATGATTGACTCAGTCTCATTGGAGTAGACATTTGTACACCAAAAACAGAACAACAAAATACATTTAAGCTCGACTTCCTGCAGGTTGTTGTCCCTATTTTCATAACATCTATCATTTCTCTCTCTCCATGTAGTCCACCATATACAAGCAGGGATCAGACTCCATGTTTCTCTGTTTGTAGCCCCAACTCCAACCTCCTCCCAACTGAAAAGAGTCTCATCAATCTTACTAGGCATACTCCATGAAATGCCTCACCAGCATCTTACATAAGAAACACCAGCTCATGTAGACAACCTTTCACTTTCCTAAGGTTCTGTGCTGTCAAAATCACCCCTCACGAAGATCTGTATAATGAGATCAAAGAAATAGTGTGGTTGAATAATTGTGCAAGGAGTAACAACTGACGATATTAAATTACTGCAAACTTTGTTTTGTTACAAACACTTCTTCTCCTTCCTGTTTCCTCGGTCTTTTAGTCATATGAGTGTGTACATATATTCACTTTTTTGCTTTTATCAAAAAAACAGATATATGGATATATTTTTTTTGCTTAATCACCTGGTATTTGAAACCAATCAGTAATTGCTTAGGGGCCATTAAAGGGGGAATCACTCCTTACTAGGAATTTCTCCAAATCCCAGAGCTCGAACTTGACGACTACATGTGTCATGTGTGTGTATTTTGCTTCTGTTAAAGTGGACTTCTGTTAATCATTTTCCTTGCATGGAATCTTTTTCTGCTTTCGGAATTCGTCTAGTATGTCTCCTGTGATTTAACCTAATTAGATGTATTATAATAAGTCTTTTTCCTTTTGGAAGATAATTTCTGGTGATGATGATTTACCTAAACGAGATGACATTGGAGAAAGGAGAAGAAAGCATGAACTGAGAGTTCTAGCTGGAGCTGGCGTTGAACCTACTGATGATGTCAACCATGAGACTGGTGACCATGCAAGCGATGATGTTGCTACTTCTGACGATAGTGAAATGGACTCAGATATGGAATTCTACAGAGAAGTCGAAAAACAACATTCAGCTAAGCTTGCTGCTAAAGAAAAGATGTATTCCAGGTTAGACTCAATATGTTTTAAGATTGTTAAAACAAGCATGCTATAAACTTCTTTCATGTGAAAGATTTCGAGAATGCCTTGACAATATCAATTATTATGTACATCCTTTTACGTCCTGCAATTGTTTCACTTAATTCACCACAATTTGCCACTGTAGATCCCCAGCTATGCTGTCAACACCAGAAACCGTTGTGGATGGGAAGCGCCAGATAAATTACCAGGTATGACATATCAGTTTTTGCTGCCTATTGCAATCATGACATTCCTTTTTCTCTCACTGAGCTCGTCGTTTCGTTATTTTCTAGATGGAGAAAAACAGAGGCCTTACTCGTAACCGTAAGAAGCAAGATAAAAACCCAAGGAAGAAATACAGGGTAAGTGACTAAAACAGAATTACTTGTGCTTGAAAGAACCAGTTTTCTTATATAACATTGTTAACAAACTGTATGTCTCTCAGGGGAAACATGAAAAGGCTCAGAAACGTAGAGAAGGACAAGTTCAAAAAATTAAGAAACCAAGTGGTCCTTATGGTGGAGAAACTACAGGAATTAATGTTGGTATTAGTCGAAGTATCCGATTTAAGGGATAGAAGTCGTGTGATGTGTGGTTTAGACACACGTCTCAAAGTTCAAGTGCTTCAATAGACAAAAGCTTAGTATTTAAGTGGAGAATGGTAGAGTTGTGTACTCGTTATTCACCGAGTTCAAAACCTTGCATATCTAATTTGTTCGTACTTCTTTAGATGAATCTTTCAAAAGAGAAGTAATTGATGTTACATCGATATTACATAAATCGTATCTTATTTTTTATCTCTAATTTATATCTACATTTTTTAAAAGAATAACTTAGCTTACAACAAGTTCTGTGTACATTATTATCAAACCTCTATTTAAATGAATGCTATAAACATCTGTAAAATGAATCTTTTTCAGAAAAAGATTAATTGATGATGAAAAAAAGCAAAAGCTCAAGAGTTCATTCTAGTTCATAAACTGAAATGAAAGACATCAGAACAATTTCAATTCTTTAGGAACGGGAATAACGGAGATGTTTCGAGGAAAATAATTCAATATCGTTTAAAATATTTCTCAATAAATATTTTAGTGATATGATTTTTAAAAAAAATTGCATAACTTTTATAGAACCCTCCGCAGAGTATTGGGGAGCATTATTTAAAGTCTCACAATTTTCAAAGTCTATTTTAGACGTTAGGGGATTACAAGAATTATGTAATTTTTATAGTTTTTCATGTGTGTTAATCCATGGATATTTTAGTGCTATGATTTTTGAACGATTTTTTTGCGAGGGACAACTAACTCATTAATTTCATGGCGTGTTACGATTGATTATTAGGGAAAGTCCAAATAGAAAATTGATATATCATATTGTTTAGATAGAAAATTCACAAAAATTGACTATGAAGTGTTATTTTTAAATTAAAAATCGAATATACATATGTATCAGTAAATTAATAAGGTAAATATATTTTTGATACAAAATTAATGATAATTAAGAGAGAAACAAAAAATATTTATTGTTTATTTTTGAGGTTATTTCTTTTTTGAATTTTTTTTTCTTTTTTGAATTTTGAATCTTCCTTTTGAAGTTTAGTTGATATGTCAAAAAAAAAAAATTAAAAAAAATTTAACTCCATCATCTCACGACCCTCCATTTGTGCCGTTACCAACGGTCACATGCCGCGACTCGCTGCCCACTCGCCGGAAATGACTGAGCCACGATCGCCGATTGACACACCTCCTGAAGAAGTACAAACATCGCAAAACTCTAACAACATAGTTCCCGAAATTCCATTAGAAATCATCAGTGAAGAAGAAATGGGGATAATAGAAGCTGCCTTTGCAGCCACGCGATCTCTGGTTAAGTCACCGTTACGTGTTTCTTCATCGCCGGCGCATTTTCAGAACAACGTTAGGTCGATACAGTCGATTACTCTGTTATCGAAGCGGAGTTTATCGAGGTGTTCTTCACAAAGTGATTCGTTAGAGGTTGATTTAGAAGATTCTGGAAGTTTAATGAGTAGTCAGAAGAGGAATAGAGTTGTCGCTTCGTTGTTGAGTCGGTATCGGAGGAAAAGAGGATTGGCTGTTACTGATATTACTGCTACAGTATGAATTTCGAAACTTTATACTCCCTGTATTGCAATTTATGTGACATTTTTTTCCGATTCTGTGAAGTTGCTACTTATAGTTCTTTTCTATTGTTTACGAATGCTAGAATCTTTATTTTAAAATATTAACTTGATCTAATGCAATTTAGTTTTCAAAGATTAGTTAAAAATCGACTCTCATGAGCAAATTGTCACATAAATTGGGAAAATGGAAATACAATTTGGTGTGGTGATGTTTACAAGTTGGTGTCTTTTGATGTTGTAATTTGAAAAGCTGTGGTTTCCTGATGTTCCATTTTTTGAATGTTCAGAGAAATTTTGAATTGCTTGCTGAATTATTGCTTTGAATCTGAGGGCTTATTATCATCAGACCTCCTATTTTATATGACTTTATTTGAATGATTATATAGTTTAAGATATTAATTTGACTTCCTTTCTTAGAGGGTATAGTGGACGAAAAAATCGAAGTAAAAGTGTGATTTGATAGAGTTCAACTATTGAATAGCCTAATGAACTTGAATTATTGAAGTTGTGAATTATCTAGTCATCTTGGCACAGATAGATATTGGTAGGACATGTTATCTGAGTTGTTTCACAGACAGACTTGAGTATTGAGATGGAGGGTCTGAAGTAAGAGTACTCGTCTGATTTATTATTAAAGTTATAGGATGTAGTATGATGTTTAATGCAAAAGATGTATTTCATTATAGAATCACTTGAGATATTGCGTGAGACTGCATGATTTTGAATCTAGATCAGACAAATGGCCTGTTGAACTTCTAGCTGGTTCTTTATGCCTCTACTGCAGTGAGAATTGGCTTTTGTAACATGTCCAGAATATGTTGAATCCGTTGACTAGAAGAAATAACTAAGAAATAAAAATGATGTTCTCTCTAACTACTCAAGTTTTAGATGGGATGGTCACATAATTCAACCCAGTATCAGAGTAGGAAGAGGTCAGAATTTGAGTCTAACCATCATCCATTATCAAAAGGAATTTTCAGGTGTTTGGCCCACAAAATAAGAAAATCAGGTTTACATGTGACAGGGCATGTTGAAGACATAATTAAGTAAATTAAAGTGGTGTTTTTCTCTTAAACTGTTTAAATGAGATGGTTACACAATTCAAAAGATCATATGTCTCAATTCTAATATTTCTCTGTAACAACTCTGATTTTGTTGTTCTTTCGGTCTCAGGAAGCAAATCAGTCCTGTTGAGCTTTGACCAATATGAGTTACTGGACTTCCTCGAAATCTAGAACTTGTAGTTCTAATTTATTTTATTTGGTTTCTCTTCAATACCCTCTCATTGTGGATAAACTTCCTTAGGTTACCCTACAGAGATACAGTACTAGGAACAGAACTATTCTATATATTTTATGTGAGAGTTTGGCTAGTGCAAGCAGAAGTACTTGCTTGAGCCTTTTTGATGTAAACATTCTTTTTTTTATCATGTTCTTGCATTTGTTTTGTTTATATTTGCTAGTCATTGTGCGAGGAGAAAGTTCCCCTGAAACATGATTTTACTGATTCTTTATCCTCGTAATCGCATGTTGCCTTCAGGAATGGTGTGAAAAGAAGATGGAGTATACTCTTCTTTGTGGCAAACCCAAAAAGACCAAAGCTATGGAAGCTGGTAGCAGTCGTCATGAAGAACTTGAAGAAGAGGTATTTCCTATAGAGAGTTTAGACATCCATTTATTTTATATTTTAACTATCTCAGTTCAAGTGGTCAAGGCAAAAGTAATTTGATAGGACATATATTTCGTATTGTTCTGTATGTCCGTTTGGTGAATGGAGATGAAGAGAGAATATCAAGACTCATGCCAAATTCCAAAATGTTTCTATATGTTTAAAACATTTCCATTTTCAAAGTGATTCTTTTAGTGTACTCTTATTTCTCAGATTTCCTGTTCTTACCTTACTGTGAGTTTGAATATGTGCAGGTGATCAAAAGGGTAAGAGTTCGTGTTGACTCGGCTGAAGATGTATGGGCATTAAAGTTCTTAAATTTCATAGTTGGTGCCAATCAATTGCTATTTGACGGATTGACACGTGAATTGCCCTTGTAAGTCTCTTTTTTATCATTTGCTTGTTCATAATAATTCTTTAACATTCCTAGGAGTAAGTTAGTTGATAGCAGTGTTCCACATCAACCATCAATTGTAGCTAATGAGCTTATTTACTGTGTTTCTGTAATTCTTTTTTGTTAATCAAACAGAGGTGTTTGCATATTTAAGAGTCATGTACAAACTTCATGACCCAATAATGAAACACCTTGCCCCTTTAATCTCAATTAAGAAGATGGTGGAGGTGTAAGAGTCACCACCATTTGATTCACTACTTTAACTTTTCATCAACTTAAAACTTTTTGATCTACCAACTAGATTAGTTGGGTTCTGTTGCAGACCCAAAATAGAAAAATAAATGTCTCGTGTCTAACAACTTAAACTTTAGCAATCACGCAAGAAAACATACAATCAGGTTAAATGAAGGTTTTCAAGTCTCACTGCTATTTATTTATTTAAAATAATTTTCACGGGGGGAGGAAAAAAAGAATCAAGTGTACATGTTAGGATGCATATATGTCCATCCAAAGTTGCGTGTGATTGAATGTCACATTAATCCACCTCAACCTTTACTTCTGCACGTGTAGATGGAGCTTCCTTGTTATAAAGTTCACTGATTCCTGCAAAGTAGAAAGAAATTATGAAATATTCTTTATGATTTGCATCCTCATTAGCTGCTGAGCTAGTTCATTTGGTTCATCAGAGTAGGTTTTGCTGAAGGTGTATGGATGGTTGGAGTTATTGATGAGATACGAATGCCAGAAAGACAAAGTGATGCATATCCAATGTTAGTTGACACAAAAACACGAGCGAAAGCTACCCTTCCTCCTGAACCGCAACGGAGGAACGGAAGGTATAGTTTTCCACTGAATGTTGAACAGTAATATGGTGCATCTCTGAGATGAAGAGAGATGCAACATATCTAAATTTCTTTACTATTCAAAATGTATTTATGGGTACAAAATCTGATGAACGGATGCCCTTCTATGGCAGGCTTCAGCTAATGTGCTACAAGCATTTGTGGGACAGCTTGGTGGCCGATGACTTCCCCTCGCGGCAGTTCTTTGAGTTCTTCTCTCTGAATCCTAATCGCATTTTATCTGCAGAAATCAGAGAACGTACTGCCAAGTGTGGTTTCGCTGCTGAGGTATTACCCAAAAAAAAAAATGAATGAAAAGTTCTTCAGGATTATATTATTTCTTTCATATTTTAATGAAAAAGATAAGTAGAAATGGTATGGAAAGCTTTTTAGGATTATATTATTTCTTTCATATTTTAATGAAAAAGATGAGTAGAAATGGTAAATAATTTGAAGAAGTTGTAGGATTATTAGCCAAGCCGCAAAGCTACCTTTTTCATGCATGTGGAATATCATGAGCCCAAAGCAGACAATTTCTTTGGCTCCTAAGCAAACTCTTAATATTTGTCTTGCAGTTAGCAGTTACTTGAAGGCATAAACTTGAGTTCTCTTAGGATCTATTTTCTCTTTTCTTTATCTCAAAAACTTTACTTGTTTGGGACTGAGGGGCGTTACTGTTGTATTTCTCTAAATTTTCCCTTTCTGAGAAGCCCTTTCTTCATCCTTATTCCCAGTGTGATCAAGACTAAAATTGGAGGTGCCAAATGATCATGATGATTAATTATATCAGGATAAAAAATAGATACAGCTTTACTTCCGTGGATATGACTGAAAAGAGTTTGTGATTGGGGTCTGAGTCTTTCACCACACAACTGAATAGGCGTCTAGTTTATTATGGATGTTGGAGATTCATCTTTTTTCCTGCTATCAGAATTTTGCTGATGTTTTTAGCCTTTGGAAATATTTTATTTATGTCTTATGTCGGTTCACATCCAACTCTTGGTTGTTAATGCAGACTCTCACTGATATGTTGAGGTACTCTCGTAATACTTGGTGCATGCTTCCACCAGCACATGAGCAACTATTATTGAGGTGAGTTGGAATTTCATATACTATGACTAATGTTTCGCATTTTTCAGATCTAATCTTCTTCTACCAAATATTGCCTTTGTTTTGTTGATGGCATCTTTCTCTGTCTCTCTTTTCTGGCTACTGAGATGTCTGAAATTAACCTGTGAAATCATAGCTCTTCCATATTAGAAAGAAATCCTTCATTTTAGAAAGAAATATGAAGCCCAACTTGAACAGAGTTCTGTGGCAAAAAAGTAGATAATCAAGGTTTGACTACATTGAAGCCCGATCTTCAGAGATTATTATCTGATGGCTCATCATGTATTTGCTTCTGCACGAAAAGCTCAGAAGACTCGGGAGATTTCCCTCATGTTTCTATACTTTCATCCAGTTCTCTATATATTTAATTTGTAGTACTTTTTTATACAATTAGATAGGTTTATTAGTGTTATTTAATATTTGGTGTGAAAATCACTTCCTAGCTAAATACATGCACAAGTTTCACCTTTAAAAGTGACAAAATTAGTAGAATCAGTTGCATAATCCAAACCAAACAGGTCCAAGAAAGTTCATTCATTTCATGCATTAGAAGACACTTTTACATATTAGATGTTAGTAAATCTTTTGTATTCTCTTTTCTGCAGGTATGAATTTCAAGGAGATCAATCGTTGCTTGGTGAAGATCGGTTTGAGTATGATCTTAACTGGGTAAAGGGTCAAATAAAGTGTTCGTTAGAGGTATGGCGAGGAGAAAGAGAAGCCAGTTACACCCCTGAAGACGAACGATGGAAATGCTGGTCTTGCAAGTTTGCTTCTGAATGTCCAGCCAGCAATTCTTGCTCTCCAAGAAGAAAGGACACTGAAGGCTAACTGGTACGTTTGGCAAATCGCGTTGAACTGTTTGTCAATATAACTTAAAACTCTTTAACAAACTTGGCATTACACGAACAAGCCAAACAGTATCTATTAGTATAGCTGTAGGTACATTCTGAACCTGAAAATTCATTGTATGTAAATAAATTCATTTTATGTTGTAATTGTCATTGTTGATATTTGTAATGTCAAAGCTATTGACATGATCTCACACTGAACCATAACAAATGTAATACTCATTTTCTCGTCTCATAGTTTATCTCAGAATAATCACACCAATAAAATGTTGTTTTATGCCTATATCTATCGCTTTTGCTTCATTGTATTGATTCTTTTAATAGATACTGAGATTCATATTGGAAATCAAAAGTATATAATTCAAACTATAAGACACAGGAGTAATTTTGATTGATCAGAACAAATAGATATAGCAAATAAATGGAATTGGATGCTATGTCAATCCCATATATGGAATTGATATTGTTGTGACGAAATTGTAGCTCAACTTCAAATTGCTCGGATGTTATGTTTCTAAAAATTCTTGTGATAATATAACACTAACTATTTATAATTAAAAAAAAAAGTTTACTTATAAAGTAAAAGATGACAATATCGAAGAAAATTGAAAAATATCATCAAAAATTAGATACCATCAAAATTCACAACATAAAATATCAAAGAAAAAAAAGAAATACACAATATTAGTTGGTTTGAAAGTTCTAAATTGGATGATCAAATAAGGAAAAAGAGTATTAATAAACAATATTTATTTGGTTTCGAACTCCTGAATACTAAGAAAAAAAAAATTATAGTTTCAAAGATTAAAAGAAAATAAATGTATATTTTATCTTTTAATATAATATAATATAAATAGATTAAAATATTTTTCCTTTTTGCGTTTCAATTAAATTTAATCTGACATTAATATAAGTATTAATTTATTTACGTAAATTTTAAATATCAGACAAAATTAAATAAATTAATTAATAAATAGTTAAATTAGAGTATATTCTGTTTATATCCTCATTAATTGGATTTTTGTCTACTTATTTTACCACTATTTTCTGTGAACACATTAATTACCATGGCGCACAATAGCAGTAGCAGGAGAAGACCTAACATACTGATAACCGGAACGCCGGGCACCGGGAAAACGACGACGTCGTCTGCACTGGCGGAGGCGACGCAGCTCCGGCATATCAACATCGGTGAACTGGTGAAAGAGAAGAAGTTGCACGACGGATGGGACGATACCTTGGACTGTTACATCATCAATGAAGACCTTGTAAGTCTTTTAGTGAAAATACTAAACCCTAGTTCTTAATCTAAGGATGGAAAGTTCCGATTTTTATTTTGATTTGATTTCAATTCAATAGAAGAATTATAATAACTGTTAGAGAATCCGCTGTTCTTATTTTTTCTTTTCAATTTTTGTATTGGTGTTGCCATTCTTATAGAGTGGCAATTGAGAGAATTATTGCTGTTTAACTTATTTTTTTTTGGTACCTGCATTTCTGTTTTACAACCGTGCCTCTTGATCACATGACAATGATTTTACCAGTTACGTCAAGGCTCCCTTCTGTAGGGTACATGTAGCTCATCCTTTAAGATAAAATGGGAAAGGTCGTGTGAGATAGTTTGGCCATGTACTATTTTGACATTTAAGTTTAGAGGGTTTAAAGGTTAAGAGTTATTTAGAGGTTGAGGTATACTTGAGTCTCTTTTCGGGAGAAGGTATACTTAAAATCACATCGAGTGAGTTCTCTGAAGAGAAGATAAATTTATTTAGAGAATTATATTCAAGTTAAAAGTACAGAAAACCTCTAGTATAGTCATTATTATTGTCAAGTTTTGAGTAACTTGTGGTTCCAATCCATAAAGGTGCTCTTGTAAATGACCTCAAATTTTGTTGTGGTGAATAGGATTGAATGCGAAAATGAATATTAAGGTGTTGGAACATCTAATGAGGTTCTTAAACTGCTCTTGATTGTTTATAATGTTAAAAAGTTGAAAATCTGTATTAACTCTCTTTATTTATGAGCAGTTTTAGAGAACTTGATTCAGTGTGTCCAAGTGGTTTTAAGAAATGAAATGGTGGTGTTAACTGGACCTTCACTTAAGCTATTATTGGTTTCAAAGATATAAAACTTTATTGATAGAGTATAAGTCATTATCCCTTTGGATTAGGTGGTTCAGTTTTAGTTATGGTAGCCGTTTCTTCTTCATTGCTTCCCTTCTGGTGCTTTAATGCTGTAAGGTATTTGCCCCCAAACATCATAACATTAACATATACCTGGTTGGAGGGAAGTGCCAGAGAAAAGGGGAAGTTCAATAACCCACTGACAAGGAAGGAGATGAGATGGCTGAATGCGGGATAAACTATGGTAATTGAAGATTAGCAGTAAAAATGAGAACTTTTGTTGGGACAGTAGAGCCTTGATATAAAGTTATCGGTTTCTTTGGTAATACATTGGTTGGTTTGCATATAGCTTTCCTACATGGTTTATAAACCATATGCCTAGTTTCTGTATTAACAAGTTTACTTATCAAAACAAAATAAAGAAGAAAGGATAAGATGCATCGGATTTTCCGTCACAGAATACAGAGCATTTTTGTGTGTTACTGGTGCACCTTAAGCTTTTGCAGCATCTCTACCCTCTGGATGTTCTTTACTATTTGTCTCACTCTTGTTAGCACTTTCAGAATATAGTATACCAGTTACTCCAGCTTTGATCTTCCAATTAGTCACCCCACCATATCCTATTCAATTGATAGGAAATCAAATGAATGCTCTTTGCCAATTACGATACAGCTGCTTGATGAAACTTTTACATAGTTGGTATTTTGCAAATAGTTTATGTTCATATTGCTCCTATGTGGTCAACTGATATTTGCAAAGATACTAAAATTGCACTTCTTATCTTTGCTTTTATTGCTTTGAGTTTTAGATTTATTGTTAATGCAATCAAAAGCTATTTGCTAGTTCTAAAGAAGTTTTAACCTTGTATTTCCTACAATAAATGATGAAGAAATTGTGGTGTTACAAGTTTCATGATGTGGCTGCTGTAGGTATGTGATGAGCTCGAGGACATGATGGAAACAGGTGGAAACATTGTTGATCATCATGGTTGTGATTTCTTTCCTGAACGTTGGTTCGACAGGGTTGTGGTTCTTCAAACCGACAATACTGTCTTGTATGATAGATTAAGTAGAAGGTAACACTGTCAATTGACATCTTTGATTGTCTCTCATATATACCTCTCCAGTTGCTCACACAGATCCGTCTTGACTTGCTCGACTGTCCCAGGGGTTACACAGGCCAAAAGCTCACCAATAATATCGAATGCGAAATATTTCAAATTTTGCTAGAGGAGGCAAAAGACAGTTATCCAGAGGATATAGTTGTGGCACTGAGAAGTGATTCTATTGAAGATATTAGCAAAAATGTGGAGATGATGTCCAATTGGATCAGCAGTTGGAACCCAGTCGTGTGATTGAACTAATCACAAATGAATTTCCCATTGCTTAGATATTATTTTGTTGTACTCAAAGATTATAATGGTTTTGGTTGTTTTATGAAGATGCTCTTATTTATGTTACAGAACTTCTGCAGAAATGCATTATTATGCTTTTCATTAATCATTCATTTCTGAACTACACAAGTTTCTCCAGAAAGTTAAATGTTTGAACAGTGATTAGCACTACCACAATCACTCTTCAATGGTAGTTTTTGCAGATTCACACACAATTTTGTTCACATGACACAATAGTCACAACCAGTACATCAAACAAAGGGTAGAAAATGGTGTGCTTTATTCAAGAAATGCCATCGGGGATTTCAAAACGCCCACGACTTAAGACCTTTATTGCCTCAACATCTTTACATTTTCTCTAAATCTATTTCTATCCTGCAACTGCAAGACTGCTATATAGCCAAAGCGCACGATCCTACAAAATTGTTCCTACAACTCGGGAGTGTCATTACATGATATTCACTCAGAACCCATGTAGGGTTTACATTAGGTAAATCCACACAAGATGAGGAATTACATGTAGAGTTCAAAAGAATTCGAGAGTGCCAGTTATAGTGACGGGTGGATTAATATCAATGCGGATAGCCTTCCCTTGAGAAAGTAACTGTGGTAGTGTATTGGCATCTTTGGCTGTAGCTCCTGCCCCAGTCCATATTGTGACGTGGGGCCATGGGTTTTTAGAATCGACCTTTTCACCTTCGACAGAACCAGGCTCAGCTTCTAGGGCAGCCAATTTATCGGAGAACAACAAAGCAGCCACGTCTACTGGGACGTTTTGGTGAAGAAAGGAACCGTAATTGGCAACTGCAGTGACACCATGACTTCTCTTGTGAGCTAGGGTCAAATGGGCTTTCTGAATGCAGCTCTCCAGGCTTTTGTCCTTCAAGAAATCACCAACCTTCAGATCTTTCTTGGCTAGCTGTGCACAAAATAATGAGGAGGATGAGATAAAATAGTTGAGTGCCTTTATGCAACACTATAGTTCCTCTCCTTAGTCCCTTCAATGTTCACCCAAAGAATATTAAACCAAATGCAGAAATTTCAGATGAATGGAAATCGTTAAAGATTGAAAGGACAAAAGAGCGAATGCAGTCTATCTTCTTTTTTTTCACGGATAAAGAAATTGTCAATTGAAAGAAAAAGAAGGCAGCAAACAGATAAACAATAATTATTATCAGTCTCTTAGACCTGCCAAGAAAATAATCCAGCCACAAGGAATTATATGTATTGTGCATGAACTAACAAGTACGATAAGAACAAAGACCACTAACTGCAACCATCAAGACATAAAATCTCCAGCCATCAAGACTTCATAATTATAAATTTGCATCATTAACTTACATCATTCAGAAGACCTAGAATTTCTGGAACTGGCAGGCTGATAGCGGCAAACACAATGGATCCTAGCTTCCTCTTCTCAGAAGAAGGAGCTGCATATTCGCCCCTCGCAATAGCTTTCAGTTGTTCAAGGACTTTTTTAACAGCAAATTCAAATGGAACCTGAAATAGAACTTCACAGAATCACTTCAAAGCTCTCCTACCACAATGTGATAACTTTCTTTAGAAGTGTCACTACTCTCTCTGTTCACACAGAACCAGGGGGTTTCGGGGGGTTGCTGATCATGGAATACTGAACCATCCAACAAGCCCCTCCGACGAGAAAGGTATTGTTAATGCAGCACTTATGATCTTCTTTGGCATACTAGCTAATTTAAGGAAAAGTAACTCATTCTTTTTCTACAAACACGACTTCCTACTTGAAGCCACTCTTCCCCCCGAATACCTGCATCCTTGCCATGTCAAAGATACATAGTATACATATATCCTATAGGGGTGTGCATAAGTATCTATTATGGGCACATCAAAATTTGTTACAGATAATCAGGGGTCATTTGGTAGTATTAACAAAAATAATGTTTGCATTAGCTCTGAATATTAGTAGTATCTTGTTTGGTATCTTTTTTCATGCTATGTGTAACTAATGCTTGCATTATTTTTACACTCTATTGTGTATTGGGGAGTGCATTACTTATACCATAGATTTCTGGGTATTAGTAATGCAAAGGGATTTAATGCATGCTTTAGGACTTTAAAGACACAAATATCTCTCAAAAGCACTTTAACATCTTTTTCACCATAATTGTGAAGAATATTTTTGTACAATACATATTATTTTTAATACACCAAACCAAACAATGCATTAAAATAATGTATGTACAACTAATGCAAACATAACTAATACAAGCATTACTAATGCAAGTATTGCTAATACACTATATTTAGCATTATTTTTATACACTCAACCAAACGACTCATTAGTGTATTTGAAGTGCCCGTGTGAACTACTCCAGTCTTTAACATACAATTCCTACACAGGTATGACAATTTAAATAAAGTATGCATGTACTACCGCTGCATGCCATGGCTAATATTTGTGAAGGACTTGTTTAACTTTATAGCAATTAAAATTGTATTTCCAGTGCAAAGTAAGATCAGATACTCCATGCCTTAAGAGATCTAAAAGGACTGCGCTAAGCTATACAGACTTACCTGTATTGAATTGAGATAGTCCGCATTTCCATGTAGAATATCCCTCAATTGCTTCTCCCATTTAACCCACTCTTTTACAAAAGTCCCTTTTGTAGACTCCAATCTACCAGAGAGAAAATCACACACAAGGAAAAACAATTATCAGTCACAATCAATTGAAAACACGCCTACCTCAAAACATTATTCATGGAGTGGAAACTTATATATATAAGATGGCAACCTCAGCTTTTTTTCATGAACATATCACTCAAATACACAAAAATAGAACCTTGTCAACGTTAACTGAACATCAGACTTGTCCTCCAATTACCAAATATTACTAGAAAAACGACATGATTTTGCTAGACAAAAAAACCCGGTCATACCGATATATATACCCCCAACCCCAACCCAAACTTTGGTAGGTGGATATTACAAGGTTCAGAAAAGACATCTTAACCCCAAAAGAAACGGCATACAAGTTGTTTGGAACCCTATTTTAACATGCAGAGAAATGCAATTCATATTCATATTGCACTTAATTTAGTATAGCACATATATGTGAATATAAAGTTATTACTAGGCAACGTAACACAACAAGAATTATATATCCAAAGAGTGAAAAGGAGTTCCATAGATCCAGATCATGCTCAAATTTATGCAGTACAGTCAAGACACTGGAAATCAATGAATATATCAGAGTTTCATAATGCTTTGACAGACTATAAGAGCCCCCTCATATCCATCTTTTCCCAACTATATGATGCTGGAAAGTTCCAAATGTCATTACAAATCATAGAATCCTCAGCCTTAATTTCATTACACTGATCAACCACAAATCTGAGCTACTTTGAACCATTCAATCCATCCAAAAGTTGACACCAAAACAGTAATTAAAAGATAAACAACAAAATAGAAGGGGCTGACAATTTCAACAGAAGAAAGAAATTGAAAATTCTTGAACTAAAGAATCAAAACCGACCTTCCATGTTTGTTAGTATGAAGCCTGTACAGATTGATTCCCTCCTCAACAATAGACCTCACAGAATCCGGAAGAGGAGACCTTCATATGATCAAAAACAATATTAGCAGCAAGTAAAGCAAATAGAACTAGGGAAGACCTACATGTCGTAGAATCGAGACACTTCCGAACTATACAGGTTAAATAATAAATACTGCCCCACAGTGGCAACAGAGAAGACATTAACAACAGCAAGGCAAAAATCCATCTGTCGTGATAGATATATGTGCAATGACTACCAATGGCATGCTGTTGGTTTCATTACTATCAATCAGTTATATCACTGAAAACCTCTAGTTGTCTAACATCCTCTAGGTTGAATATTTTGGACCAAGTAGCTTTGCTGTAATTAGAATACATGAATTCAGAAGTGCAGCTTCATAAGAAAAACAATTGGATTTATAGACAACACCAACTTTCTTCTTTTCGTTCTTTTTCTTCCCTTTTCCTTTTTTGGTCACGAAGAATACAAGGTTACAAGCATTGGAGTCTTCAAAATTGGCGATCTCCTTCAGAATTCTGGAAGGCTGTTTTATTAAATGACTGCGTTAGAATTTTAGCTTAACTAAATTAGATCTATCTTCACTCTAGTTAATGAAAATTAGCGACCAGGTGAAAGCACATACAATTGGCTACACTGAAATCATACTTGCTAATTGGATGCCAGTTAGACACATGTCAAACAAGAATAAGTGATGACACTATTCATCATGTCTTAATTAGACAACAACTTGCTTGAAAATAGAATTTTAGAAAACAAATTTCATTTTCTTCTAAGTAAATGACTTATGATCAAACAAATACTTCAATATCGAACAACCTAGCCCTAAATTGGAAAGACTTCATTAGTAGATGAAGACATTCAATGTTTGGGGTTATTAGTTTAGCTCTTAAACCACTTTAGATACTTCACAAATGTTCATCACAGTGTTGAACGACTATAGTTTGTTGTTAATCAAGAAATATGAGGAACAAACCTTTCAAGTCTTCTATTTGAAATAAATTCAGAGGAAATAACTACTACTTTCTCTAGTTCAGCATACACTTCCACTTGCATAAGAAATAATAACAACACCCTCTTGTTCTAAATTGAATTACAAACACCAAAGGACTAAGAAAGATTATGAAGAAGATTCAACTATAATATCAAACCCAATGTCATAATATAGCCTACTAATTATTTACACTTCCCCTTCTCCTCCAATTTTGCCTTTGCCAACTTTTTCTTTTTATAAATTCTCAAAAAATCTATCTTTAACATTATCTCAAGATGCTCTCATGGAAGACAAAACTGAGGCGCGACTTTGGTGAAAAATGAAGTAGTCGGCTCCAAAAACCACAAAAGGAAGAGCTAGTAAAGTATGTAAGTGGGCCTAAATAGGACATACAACCATGTGACCTAAAGTTTCTGAACTTTTAATGCTAAAGATGGATTCAAGATAGGTGGTGGAAGTGAATCGCATTTTTCATATCTATCATTAGACTTCCAATCACAGTGTATTACAATCCATGTGATCCTTTGGCAGCTCAAGTGATTGAGTCACGGGTATCATCTCTTAGGCTTCTCATCTAAATGAAAAATGTTCACTACGTTGATGAACTGAGCTGTGATAGAGGGTTACTTGAGGGGATTTTCAGAAACTACAAAGGACAATGTACAGTGAAGGTTTCACATCTCGGGTTCGTATACAACACTTAAGTTCTCTGTGATGCACACATTAAACAATTGATTTTTTACACAATTTCATTTGATTACAACATCGTCGGAGCCTCAAATCAACCTCAGAAAATGTCAGATCATTGTTGGTGAAGTGGACAATATTGAGAATTGATACAAATGCTCAATTCCAGGATTAATGTTCTCCGTACTGTTTTTCTCAGTTTTACTGTTACACTTAAACAATGAAGAATCAACATGAAACGCAATAATTAAAAGAGATCAGAAGAGGCTAGAAGATAGCAGAAGAACTATTTGTCTTAACGAGAAGGAAGCATTAACAAGAGAGTACATGTAGAGTATCCTATCCTTCACACACTTCATGTCATATACTACTGTCAGAAGAGATACTCATCTTGAGGGGAAGGAAGAATTGACAAGAGTACATGATTAAGTATCCCCAGACTCCATGTATTGCTTCATACATGTGAGAATATAGGAAAAGAATATTCTTGAATTGTTTTTCTACATTATTACAGAGAGACCCTATTTATATATACTACAATTAGACACAATTTCCAACTAGGACACTACAATACAATCCTTTTCTAAGTAGGACACTATATACTATTCCTATTTCTATTCTAAGTAGGATTGTGTATACCTATTACTATTCTAATACTGCAGATAGCACTTTCATGAGTAAATTGACGACCCTCCAAAGGAATTTCTTATGAGACGTAGCAGACAAGAACCTTCAAGTTTTCATCAAGGCCTGTTAGTAAGGAGCATACTGCATACTCTACAAAGTGAGGTGGTAGTAGAAGTGCAGAATTGTGAAAGAGGGATAGAGAAGTAAACATGTCATACTTCACTTGGGTGCGGTCTTAGGAGGAATATATTAAAGGATCAGTAGATTTCAGTAGCAAAAGTAACAACACTTTCAAGGCAAGACATATAAGCTGGTCTTGATTTTTAATCACAAGTGGTCGGAGAGCACAGTAGAAACAATGATTGCCAGATTACAATATCTCAAGCTAGAGCCAAAAGGAGTTGACATCACAACCGATCCGTAGGCCATAAGGAGTTCTTTGGGACAAAATTCAGGAATGAGGAGTGATTCCAAGGCCAAATTAAAAAAACACCCAAGTTAACGAGTGTATTTTTCCTTGGACATGATCTACTCAAATCGAATAGCCAAAACCTAATAAGGAGCCTCGTCGATCTAATTTTCATTTGCTGAGCGATAAACAAGAGAAGAGTTGCACATGATGTATTCATCCTTGGATACAAATGGACATAATCTTAGTAAGGGGCCTCATACATCCTTTAAATAAACTAAGCAGAGTGCTAAACAAGAGAAAAATATCCATGAATCACCCGAAAGTCCCAAACTACTGTTTCCCACTAGTCTATCAGCAAAGTATAGCAACCAAACAAGAAAACAGCCCAATATTCACTGTCATTCAACTCAGATATATACCAATAGCAAAGATGAAGTTCAAGAGGAGACAGAAACATAAGGAGACAAATAGCATATAGAAGTACAATACTGCAAAATAAGAGGAAATGAGAGATCTATTTATGACTTGTAGAAAATGTACTTATAAGTTATAGGTGTCAAATACGGCATTTATGATACTTGTCCTACATGGGACACTAATACATATATTCACGTGTCTGTTTGTGACTAATTCCAAGTTAACTGTTGAAGTGTGTGACCATACCATCTAAGAACTTAAGCTATTAGAGAGAACACTTAGCACACTTTTATCTACATAATTATGTCTTCAACAAGCCCCCATCATATGCAAGCCTGATGTAAAGCACGTCAAAATTCTTCCATGAAAACGGGTGATGATGATAATAGAACTCGGGATCCTCTATCTGCTCTATATTGAATCGTGTGACCATCTCATTTAAGAGCTTAAGCTATTAGAGGGAGCACACTTTTATTTGCTTGGTCATGTCTTCAATAAATATGATATGTGAGTCCAACACTAACACTATCTTTATATCAGAGAAATCCCACAAGGACCAGTCACGATTGAAAATTTGGTGAATTATGACGAAAGTTTGAACTCCAATCTAACATAAGCAACTAAAAGAGGAAGTAAAAAGTCACAAAACCAGTAATAAAGTAGGGGGTGGGGGTTCATAAGTAAGATGTCTTACTAACCTTTCAGGTTTCAGTAGAGGAATTCTGACAAGTGATCCAAAACGTTCAATAAGTTCACTCTCGAACTCCTGACGGCTCTGGGTGAAAGTGTACCAACAGAATCAGATACATATGGCTCATATATTTACTTATGAAGACTAACAAAATACGGGATAAGAACTCAGATAATCTTGTTAGCTGAATGAGTCAGATACAAATGACATGTATATTTACTTTTTGAGACTAACAAAATACGGGATAAGAACTCAGATAATCTTGTTAGCTGAAAGAGTCAGATACAAAAGACATGCATATTTACTTTTTGAGACTAACAAAATACGGGATAAGAACTCAGATAATCTTATTAGCTGAATAACACTTCGTACCTTTCCATCATAAAGGTGATAAAACATTAACATCACATATCCAGCATTTGGAGATGACTTGTCAAGATTTCCCTTCAGGATCGACCAGAAAAGAGAGGACTAAGGCATCAATATCCAAGTTGAATGGAGTAAATGGGTGAAGAGCATTCACAAAGATGGAGCAACATGAAGAATTAAGTACCGGATGATTAACACGCTGAAGTACTCGGAATATAAAAACCGCCAGTGCATCAATAGAGAATGGATTGATTTCAGTTCCTGCATGATTAATTAAACAGTAATTAAGACCCCATTTAGTGCACACATCGATGAGTATGACTCAAGGAAAAAGCAAATAAACTTTCTAACAATCAATTTGTACTACCAGGACCAACATCACCAACCATACAGAAAGGTAATGTCAAACGTCATTTGTGCAAGCATCATTAAGCATATTAGCCTACAATTGTTCTCCAAGAAACAAAAGCATATAACAAGATGATACAGAGCTTCATCTGCAATGCCAGGAATGTAGGCGGGAAGTATACGTCTGATCTCCAAGAAACAAAGGCATATAAAAAGATGATGAGGTCACCACTATAAGTTAAACAGACAAGAGAACTGCAAAGTCAGAGTTCCACCTGAATCGAACATGACTTTTCACTCGGCAAAAGACAAGAATTGTCAATAACACAAATCGCATTGTAAGAAATGCAAAATAAAGCCATTGAGTGAACAACCAAATCAATTGCATAAATTAAAGCAAACTTGCATGAGAAGAAGCATAACAGATTATTAAACCCTATGTTGCTCCAACTCACTAAAACTGCTGCCACACCCATGTCGGATCCTCCAAAATGCACTACTTTTGGAGGATCCAGCACATCCAGCTACATTTTTAAAAAAACTGAGCATCATAGATCAAAACAGAAACTAAAAAGGAACTATCTATATACCTTCTGAATCAGGTATAACTGGAATAGCAGATGCTTTGGTGCTTAGACACATGTTCTCAATCTGCAAAGATGAGAATAAAACCCGGTGAGGCAATGAAGCACTACTACTACATCTTAAGTTATTCCTGAAACAAAATAATCCTAAAACTCAAGTTCTTTATATGCATTCCACGTCACTCTAAAACTAGAAGATGCATTCTGTCCCATTATAAATAGAACACAAAGTACAGAGAACTGATGCTACAAATAGAATGTTTAATATCAAGATCTGAAACACTACCACTGCTATTATGTTAATTTGGAACTGAAAATAACTTTAAGAAAGATGGCCGTATATGAAAAAAAAATTATATCAGAGGACTTGTACTACTCAGGGAACAGTTAAACTTACTTGTTTCCATACTTCCTCATTTGGTGCATTCTTGTCAGCAAGCATGATCGAGTAAGGTTTTCTTCGACGTTCATCAGCAACTTTTTGCCAATATCTACCTATTAATATGATGGACATACAGAGATCAACTTTATTATCTGAGAGATGTTAAGTTCTTCAAGCAAGGAAAAGAGGCAGATTATTACTCTCTCCATTTCAATTTAGATATCTTACTTTGACAAGGCACAGAATTTAGGAAAATAACAGAGACTATTGAATCTTGTCGTCTTAAACTAAAGATGTGTGCATTGTACCAAAATCCATTCGAATCTTGTGAACAAGCCATGTAGAATGTTGGAATCAGAGAGTAACAATATATACAAAGAGGCATTCTTTTTAAACAAATTAGAAATGAAACTAAGACACCTAGAATGAAACAGAGGGAGTAATAGAAGTTTCAGGTGCAGATGTTTGTGGAAAGAGAGAACATGATGACGACGCATTTAGTTCTAAGTACAACTTTGTCAATTGGTTCCAACCTAAATAAAAGAGCAAATGCATGTCAGAAAACTAATCAATACTCCCTATCCCTATAATATATAGAACTCCTTCCAATATGGGATGTCGAAAAATCTTTAATCCCCTTCTATTTCACAACTTCTAAGAATTCAATTTCATCAAACTATTTCAATTTTTTTAAAGCTCTGATGTGGTTGTTTTCAGTTAACTAACCTCCAACCATTTAAAGATATTCTTCCACTACCACTGCTTCGATATACAAGGAAAATCTTAATCCCTGTGCTTGTGAGGTTGTCAAACACCATCATACAGGACGAGACGAAGTGAGTAAATGATATGCCGACAACAACCTAAAGGCACAAGATACATGGACATGCAAAATAAAATTCTTTTGTAAATAAGAAACATACCAAAATGATGTTGAAAAGCACCTCATACCTTTGATAAGATCACCCATTAAACTATGAATTGGCCGATCATCTTCAAGCCCTCCTGGAGCATTCAGTATTTCCTTACAAAGTGCAGATTTAGCACAACCTGGTATTCCTGCATTTTCACATTGCATATCAAAAAGAATGCTTACTTCAATAGTTGCAGGAGGTTCTAGAAGAGGTTAATTACATATGCAAAACATACAAGATTTCAGATATCGTATACAATCTGAATATCCAAAAACCAGTTCAATCTTACCTGGAAAAAAAACGATGAGACCCTCATTCTTTGCGACCATGTCTTTGCTGGAAATATTAGGGCTTGAAGGAGCAATATCTTTGGTCGGCTCAAGATCACCCTCTACATCTTCTCCTTCAACAATAGCCATGAAGTCTTCAACTTTGACAAAATTTCCAGCAGATCCTATCAACGCCTGATTTTGTGGACTACACTTTGCATATTGCTCAAGGAAGGGCTCAGCTTCACTTAGGTATGTGGATGATGACAATGGTTTGTTCCCATATTTTCTGCGTATATATACTGCCCTGAAAATTAGTTTATGTAAGCTGCACTGGGAAGATAAAAGTGACTCATCGTAGGAAATCATAAGTTCATTTAGTATTACCATTCATCAAGCATCTTGCTGAGTTCTCGTTGCTTGGCTGCTGAAGTATTCCATATTTTCATTTGCCTAGATCAATCATATTGTTATGAGATCAATATACTATAGAATTTATCCTTCAGAATTTATAAGACAGTGCAGCCAAAATATCACTCTCATTTTAAGAGGAAATGTATGAGAAACATGTCCTTGTATCACTGAATTAGGTAGGTCATAAAAATACAAGCTTGAGAATGTAAGAATACAGAAATATGTTAGATAACCTCAAACTTGTGTAAAAAGAACAAGTACTAAAAAATATTAAAGTCTAGATTCAAAGTAGTTACACTTGCCAGACAGTATCTATAAGAACTGATAACTAGAACTCTGAAAATAGTTTAATAGGCTAATAGATTCAACGAATATATCACTTTTTTTAATCAAGTGTCTTTTCAAAACCATAATTTGAAGGCTGATAATGACATCATTATGAGCATCTCAGACAACTTAGATAATTCATTAGAATTGTAGCACGTCATTATATGACAATAAACACCTCCTCAGAGAACTATTATGATGTGGCTGGAACAACATATAATTATTGAATTATGTCGACTACAATGTCACAGCAGCTCCTTGTTGAAAAAATTGAAACACAATGCATATGAAGGCACCAAGGAGTTCAACTAGAACTTGTCCATTGAAGAACAAAGAACCAACCAGATAAACCTTACCTCAGGTAATAAGCCTTATACGCAGAAGGGCCTTCTTTGAAAAGAGTCGACAAGCCATTACGGATCAAAAAAGTTCTCAACTGCACAGTAAACAAAATTAAGATGCAATTTCTCAGACCAATACGTGATGAATTTCAAAGCAACATGCTAACTAATTATGTTCCAAATTTAGATCTTATTTAGTGGAAAAATAACTGAGTATCATATTACTCCACCAAAAAAAGGAGTGTTTTCCACAGCAGTCACTTTCACTATTTTAATTCAATTTGCAAGCTCAAGCTCAAGCTTAACATATAAAGAATCTCACAGAAAAAGTGTTAAGCTCATCAAAGTTCCACCTATGAACTCTGTATCTCATCCCTACCTTGAATTTTTTTGTTCGAAAAGGTAACATATTTATATAATAATAAACTACACAAAGGGTGTAGTAATCACCCATAATTACAAAATAAATAAAGGGAAAAATAACTCCTAATCCTTTGTCTTCTCACAAGGATTCTAACAACAACATACCAGGTGTAATCCCACAAGTGGGGTCTGGGGAAGCTGGTATATCAGCAGCGTTACCCCTACCTTGTGAAAGTAGAGAGGTTGTTTGAAATAGACCCTTAACTCAAGTATTCACAAGGATTCTAGTACATCATAAATAGATTCGGGATATTCTAAGAATTCTTGTTTTACACCAATCGCTTTTCTTTGCTTCGATTCCACAAAACAATACTTTGACCTTGTCCAGATTCTATTTCACACGGCAGAGTGGAAAATAAGGACATAACATTACTGGCAGATTGAACAGGTTGTAAAAAGGCTCCACAGCAGTCTTGGTACTGTGTAATCCATACTAATAGATTCTAGCAAAAAAATTCAGATATTGGAGTTCTTTTTTTTTTCTTTTTTTTGAGACAGTAACAACTTGTATTTTATTCCAAAAC